TGCTCCCAGCTATTTAAACTCAAACTGGGGTCAAAACACTATGAAATTTATAGCAAAAATACCAGTAATACATTGCTGAAGAAAAAAATATTAACATTAGGATATTTAAAATATATATATATATATATATATATATATATATATATATATATATATATATATATATATATCATCAGCAACGCATTAAGAAAAACATATATTACCCGCCACATTTTTTACAAAAAATATTACCCGCCACATTTTTTACAAAAAATATTACCAGCCACACGTTTTTGAAAAAAAAATATTACCAGCAATACTGTCGAGAAACCCTATTTAGAAAAATATGTCAATTAAACCTTATCTGCAAACTGATTTCTTACAAATCCATATATTCTATTCATACAAACCTATCCTAAAAATCCTGTCGTAATTAACTAATCCATTGAAGTGTTGATATGCCATAAAACAAAATAAACCAAACCAAACCCGCTATATATTATGCAACATATCTTAATAACATATCAGTGCCCCATGAGCTGGTATTATGGAATATATATTGACTGCATAACAACATCTCATATGATATTATGCTATATATATATATATATATATATATATATATATATATATATATATATATATATATATATTATACTCGTCTGGAAAAACCTTAGGTGTTTTGGCTTGTAAATATAGGAAAGAACTCGTTAGGTAAATAATCCAAAAGTTTTTTTTAAAAACAGTGCTCGATACAAAAGTAAAAGTATATATATATATATATATATATATATATATATATATATATATATATATATATATATAAATTACGGACTAATACAGTTTCATATTTATGCAATTCATTTATATGCTCTATGATAAATATATTGACCTCTCTTTTGTGGATCGGATATTTATATATATATATATATATATATATATATATATATTGATTGCATAACGGTGCCCCCCAGACAGTATATTATTATGAAATCGTCGGCGGCTTTATTTCGCATCTTTGCGGATCACTTCCTTTATGGTGACGTTGTTGGCTAAATTCGCCGCCAGTGTGCAAGTTCAGGATTACAAGTTTTCAGTTTCACCTAAAGCTGCTCCCTGTCATCCATACCCTATCGTCGTTTGGTTCTGCAATATATATTGATTGGATAACAGTAGACCCCGCTATCTAAGATTCTGCAATATATACTGATTACATAACAGTAACCACGCTAATTAATATTCTGCAAAATATATTAACTGTATAACCGCACCCCGCTATCTAATATTCTACAATATATATTGATTACATAACAGTATCCCAATAATCTGACATTCTGTAATATATATATATTGATAACTTAACTGTATACCCACTATCTAATATTGTGCAATATTTATTGATTGCATGGAGTACTATCACTATCTAATTGATTGTGCAATATTTATTGATTGCATGGAGTACTATCACTATCTAATATTGTGCAATATTTATTGATTTATTCATTGCTAATATTGGATTTATTGATTGCACTATCACTATCTAATATTGATTGCAATATTTATTGATTGCATGGAGTACACTATCTAATATTGTGCAATATTTATTGATTGCATGGAGTACTATCACTATCTAATATTGTGCAATATTTATTGATTGCATGGAGTACTATCACTATCTAATATTGTGCAATATTTATTGATTGCATGGAAATCACTATCTAATATTGTGCAATATTTATTGATTGCATGAGTACTATCACTATCTAATATTGTGCAATATTTATTGATTGCATGGATATCACTATCTAATATTGTGCAATATTTATTGATTGCATGGAGTACTATCACTATCTAATATTGTGCAATATTTATTGATTGCATGGAGTACTATCACTATCTAATATTGTGCAATATTTATTGATTGCATGGAGTACTATCACTATCTAATATTGTGCAATATTTATTGATTGCATGGAGTAAACTATCTAATATTGTGCAATATTTATTGATTGCATGGAGTACTATCACTATCTAATATTGTGCTTTATTGATTGCATGGAACGAAAATATTTTTTATTGATTGCATGGAGTACTATCACTATCTAATATTGTGCAATATTTATTGAAAAATCTAATATTGTGCAATATTTATTGATTGCATGGAGTACTATCACTATCTAATATTGTGCAATATTTATTGATTGCATGGAGTACTATCACTATCTAATATTGTGCAATATTTATTGATTGCATGGAGTACTATCACTATCTAATATTTTGCAATATATATTGATTACATAACAGTGTTTCTCTATTATTGTGCAATATATATATATATTCATTACAATAGAAAAAAGTCCTGAACAGCCATGAAATATCGGTCCTCCACTATGGCAGTGAGTGCTGGATAATATTCTATTCGTTGAAGGAGAGACTTCTGGCAACAGGAATTTTGTCCTAAAACTAGATGTTGACAATGACATGGACCAAACATCTGAGCAACGAAAAAGTTTAACCTGTGCGCGTGTGGCAATGGCTGATCTGGTGCTCAACTTCACAGCGACCCTACGACCACACCCAGGCATGGTACTGGTGGTGACAAAGATGATAACCTGTGCGTGTGCGTGAAACTCCGTTGAAGAATTGTAGAAAAATGCAATAGATTTAAAAAAAAACTAACGCTATTCATTCGATTGTATCGCAAAGATGATACCAAAAATATTTTTGTGAAGGTATTTCGCAAAGAATCTTTGTAATTCATTTCTTTCAATTTGAAAGAAATTAAATATTCTATAATAAATACAGGAATCCCTCGATTAGTTTCGGCTAATGTGTACATTAAAAGATATGCACTAATCGAAAACGCATTAATCGAATCTAATATCTTATAGGAAATGATGCAATTTGTACCTCAAACATTAGTCTCATTCACAATTAATTTCTAATTTGCTTACTTTTTAATTGAAATATAGGTATATATAAGAAGATACAATAAAAATGCCATGAATTAATGTTCATTAACCTGATGTAAAACTTATTTAGATTGGTTTGCCATATGGTATACGTTTGTTCATCATGTAATTGGCGGTACTGAAATATTGCCCCTTTACATTTTCCAACCATATCATAATCATTGGTATTTTAAACTGAAAATTTTATTGATAATCTTTTCATAGTAAATACATACATCTTTTATATTTCGTTATTTCTTAATAAATGTAAATTTCTGTATCTAATTAAATCGTACATTTTTTAACAAGAAATCAGAAATTTCCTTTTAGACCTTCAAAATAAACATCAAAATATACAAAAAAATTAGAGACAACTATTCAAATATATATTTATATTATCGGCTTATATTATAAAATTGATCTTTTTATAACCGTTCATTTTTTAACACTACTGTAATTACTTAGATAAATTAATACTTGACAAGCAATATAGTTAACTATTTTCTATTTTTAAATTTTAGAAAATGTTTAATTAATCAGTATCTATGAAAAATCAATTTTTAGTTACTATGATTAAACTGAAGAACGTTTTACCGCACTAATCGAGTATTATGAATCCAATAACCAAAATTTGGTATATAAAAATGAATCGAGAACGTATTAACCGAAAACGCATTATTCGAGGGATTCCTGTATTTATTTAAGTTTGTAGAAGATCGTTTATTTCTTCGCATAATCTTCTCCATATATACAAAGGACGTCATGGATAGGATAGATTAAGAGATATGCATTTAAAAATCAGTTAAGAGGCTTAAAACCTGAAAGCACCTGAGAACGAGGATGCTAATAAATAAATAAAAAATTAAATCTAGTTTACAATGCTGTTTCACCTATTGAAATATAGTGTTAATTCGTTTGTAAAAGAATAGCTTCAATTATGTTGAATCGTCTTTTATAATTAGTATCCTATCGTATTTTAGTATTATGTGCTTGGACTTGGGTAGTAGCATACCTACGGACGATAATGGGTATATCCCCATTCACATAAATACGATAGTAAATACTACATGTTGGTTTGCAGATGGAGATTCGTCTCCAGCTGTGCTGGTCAAACTCTTTGCCTCCAGACTGAAAGGATCCCCAATCGAAGGGCAGAGTCTCGTCTCGGGAAACAGCTATCCGACCTCTTTTTATACGGGGTGTAGGGATAATTTTTGGCTGAGCCCACGGGTTCCGATACCCAACATTAAATTCGGTCTTGTACCACATCTGATAGCGTGGGGCGGTTGCTAGATATTTTGCAGTTGGAGATTCATCTCTAGCTGTGCTGGTCAAACTTTCTGCATCCGGGCAGAAAGGATCACCAGACGAGGCTATGTCGAAGGACAGAGTCTCGTCTAGGGAAACAGTTACTCGACTCCATTTTATACGGGGTCTACGGGGAATTTTTGGTTTCAGTATACGGCCTCGGATACCCGACATTAAATTCGACCCTGTGCTACATCTGAACGCGTGGGGCGATTGGTAGATATCCTGTAGTTGGAGATTCATTGTGGAAGTCTCTTCACTCACTTCTCGCAGTTGATTACTTTTACACGCCGCTGGCGAATCTTATATGTGTTGTTCTTGTCCTAAGTATTATCGTTCATTACCAACCTTCGTTTGATTATTCTATTCAGTAACCTTCCCTAGTTTAAAACACTTGTTTAATATTAATTGTCATATTGTGGACTCTATTAATATATATGAGGTTGTGGACTTTATTAATATATATGAGATTTTTAAAATACCATGCCCCTTCAGGACGTAGGTGTTCATGGCTCTCCACAGATTCCCTTTCTTTATTATATGTGAACTACTATAACTTCAAAGGAAAGAGTTGAATGGTTTACTCTTGCATTTTCCATGATTTCGAATACAGCTTTTCTTCTAGACTGACTGCCTTCTAAGGTTCGAGAACCCAGTCTATCTAGATATTTAACCTATAGCTGGGGAGAGAATAGATAGGTCCATGCTTTTCCTTGTCTCGCTGATTTCACTTTCGATCGTTCTTTCTTTCTCCGATATCCAATGTCTGTAATAAATGTCTTTCTCAGACAATGGATGCGGATCAAATGTCTTTCTTTCTCGACATTTTGTATCGATAACTGTTACGCTATTCCCCCATCCCTAAATGTGAGTAGGAAATACATATTTCCATATGTGCCATGTGAGATATTCTGGTGGTTATGTGACCAATGTAAGATTAATAACTTGATTTTCTGTCTGAATTTCTGGGAATTAACATTATTCGCTGTATTTATATACAAACTATTGTCCTTATATTTGTTGTTGTTATCACAGCGTTTCAAAGATGAGGACAATAGTTCGAATATAAATAGCGTAACTAATAATGATTCGATTATTAGTGTTGTAAATACCAAAAACACCACCAGAAAAGGGCAGAGGTTTTCATAAACAATATTTTTGTTACATAAATTTTAATGCCTCCAAAACGAAACTGCTCTCATTAGCCACCACAGAGATAACTCTCTTTTCGCCATTAGCATGGTTAATACTAAACTGCTGGAGAGTGTCTCTTTGTGTCTTCTTGGTCTTACGCTTTCGAATGACTTGAAGTGTAACAACTACATTGAATCAATAGCTGCAATAGCTGCAAGGAATGTTGGCTTAATGTGTTGTGCCAGAAGGTTTTTTCTCGTTAGAATCCATCCTACATATCTCCAAATCTACCATTCATCTTTTCAGTGAGTATTGTTGCCATATCTAGTCTGGTGACCTAGCTGTCCATCTTGGGGTTCTTAACAAAATCCAAAGAACGATCTGCAATGTAATCGATCTTGACTTGACATCTCGTCACTTTCTTAGTCATGTGACTTCCCTCTGTCTTTTCTACACATATTTCCATGGCTACTGTTCTGTCGAGCGTTTTCTCCCGACTACATAAATTTAAGCGTGCTAACTAGACTGGCATCTAGGTCCCACGCTTTTACCGTTGAAATAGTTAAATGTAACTGTCACTTCTATATCAGCAGCTTCTTTCTCTGATGTCTTGAACCCAGTTCATCTTTTATTATTTCCTCATTCCCCTTATACAACGTTATTCTCTCACCTTCTCTCTATGTAACCCTCTGCGAATCAGTGGCACTCCAGCAATGCTTGGGGGGAAATGCATTAAAAAAAAACAAAAAAAGACAAAACAAAAAACATAAATGATTTTTTCAGGCCCAGTGTAATATCAATTGACTAGATATACACTTGCAAACTCAACATCCAGATGCGCCCAAATCGATGACAAACACATGCTTGCATGTTATCGCAGGTCTATAAGTCAGTGCGTTCACTGAACTAAGCAAAACATAAGTCAGCCGCGTACACACATAATTCACTTTGCGTTACACAACTGGCGATGAAGATCCTCCCACGCATTGCTGATGTTCTTTATATTCTGCTCGTTTTCCTTCCTTCTTTCTTTGCTTCTTTACACGCATGCGTACATCAGAACATTGGAGTCGCTTGTGTAATATTGATTTTATAGGCGGAAATAGATTAATCTAATCGATATGAGATGTGGCTTTGACCTTCCAAGCCGAAACTGGTGGAATACGATCTGACCTTAGTGAACGGAAATAGCACGTCAACATAACATTTCTCGAGGCTGACAAAGGTGCCAACACCTTACCATTAACAACACTGACATTCTTCTTCGACGGCGTTCGCTAGCTCTTTTTTTTCGTCCTTTTTCTCATTCTTTAGCTCTTTCTTTCTTTCTTTCTTTCTTTCTTTCTTTCTTTCTTTCTTTCTCCGACAGTCGAAGTCTAGAACGAATTTTTTTGTTTCTCTGTTTCTTTCTCGATGTCTATAACGAATTCTTTTCTTTGTTTACTTGCTTGTTTGTTTGATTGTTTTGTTTTCTTTCTTTTTTTCTTTCTTTCTTTCTACTTTAATTTCTTTCTTTTTTCAATAGTTGATGTCTGTAATTTCTTTCTTTTTTTCTTTCTTTCTTTCTTTCTTTCTACTTTAATTTCTTTCTTTTTTCAGTAGTTGATGTCTGTAATTTCTTTTTTTTCTTTCTTTCTTTCTTTCTTTCTTTCTTTCTTTCTTCAATAGTTGATGTCGGTAATTTCTTTCTTTCTTTCTTTTTTCTTTCTTTCTTTCTTTCTTTCTTTCTTTCTACTTTAATTTCTTTCTTTTTTCAATAGTTGATGTCTGTAATTTCTTTCTTATTTTCTTTCTTTCTTTCTTTCTTCAATAGTTGATGTCGGTAATTTCTTTCTTTCTTTCTTTTTTCTTTCTTTCTTTCTACTTTAATTTCTTTCTTTTTTTCAGTAGTTGATGTCTGTAATTTTTTTTTTTCTTTCTTTCTTTCTTTCTTTCTTCAATAGTTGATGTCGGTAATTTCTTTCTTTCTTTTTTTTTTTCTTTCTTTTCTTTCTTTTTTCTTTCTTTCTACTTTTTAATTTCTTTCTTTTTTCAATAGTTGATGTCTGTAATTTCTTTCTTTTTTTCTTTCTTTCTTTCTTTCTTCAATAGTTGATGTCGGTAATTTCTTTCTTTCTTTTTTCTTTCTTTCTTTCTTTCTTTCTTTCTACTTTAATTTCTTTCTTTTTTCAATAGTTGATGTCTGTAATTTCTTTCTTTCTTTCTTTCTTTCTTTCTTTCTTCAATAGTTGATGTCGGTAATTTCTTTCTTTCTTTCTTTTTTCTTTCTTTCTTTTTTCTTTCTTTCTTTCTTTCTTTCTACATTGATTTCTTTCTTTTTTCAATAGTTGATGTCTGTACTTTTTTTGTTTCTTTCTTTTGTGCTCGATGTCTGTCATGAATTTCTTTCTTTCTTTAACATTCGAGATCTGAAATTTATTTATTTATTTTTCTTATTTCAAGACTATGCTTAAAAAGCAGAAAGCCTCCCCCACCCCGTCCAGCCTCCTTCCTGAATAGGATTCTACGAATCACACGACGTGAATATCTAAAATCTGAAAATCGAGACTCTTTAAATTAATCCGGTTTCCCTATAAGAATTTATCATCTTTTTGTCGCTTGATATCTTTCCCAATTGACGTTTTGCGCCATTTTGATGCTTCGATACCGAGTGTGCACAAATGGTATTTACATTATGCATCCCCAGAAATGCTATTGGTGTTGTCATATTAGTTATTCTGTTTGACATACTGACGGACAGACCTATCCTTGCCAGTGATATTTCTATGATGAGCTATTTGGATTACTATCAATGTGCTAAGACATGACAGTACTTTCTTTCTTTCTTTTTCTTTCTGTCTTTCTGTCTGTCTGTCTTTCTTTCTTTGTTTTTTCTTAGTTTCTTTAATTATTCTTTCTTTCACCGACATTCGATAGCCTCGACGAACTTCTTTCTATCTTTCTTTCTTTATTTCTTTCTTTTTATTTTCTTATTCGGTAGCCGAATTTCTTTTCTTCTTTTTTCTCGTTTTGTCTGTTTGTTTGTTTGTTTCTTTCTTTCTTTATTTCTTTCTTTCTGGTTGGTTCTTTTAATTGTTCTTTCTCTCACCGATATTCTATAGCCATGACGAATTTCTTTCTTTCTTTCTTTCTTTCTTTCTTTCTTTCTTTTCTTTCTTTCTTGTTAGTTCCTTTAATTATTCTTTCTCTCACCGATATTAGATAGTCCTGACGAATTTCTTTCTTTTTCTTTCTTTCATTCTTTCTACGCATTCTTGGCTCCACGTTTTCCGCTGACATGAAATAGAGCAACTATATCGAATAAATTACTACGTCTTTTGCAAGGAAAGTTGGTTCACTGTGTTGTGCTAGAAAAGTAATCTCGTTACAATTTGTTATATTCCGTTCTAATAGGAATATATACTTCAAAAAACAAGGTGGATAAAATAAGTAAAGGTTTATTGTACAAAAACCAGTACAATAAGAATAAAGTTAACAGTTATGCACAAGGTCGTCGCAAGTCAATCCCGTAGTGAGTGCTACGATTGGAAAGTTGGTAGTTCTCGCGTAAGTCTGAGTCGTACTCAACAGATCCCAGTTAGTAATATTTACCAACCTCCCCACAGGGTAGGATGCGGCACAAAGCCGAATTTAATGTGGGGCAATACGAGCCCGTAGGCTCGTCCAAAATTTCCCCGTAAACCCCGCATAAAGGGGTTTGGGGTCTGTCTACCTCCCCGGACAAGACTCTGCCCTTCGGCATAGCCTCGTCTGCGTTCCTCTCTGCCCGAAGGCAGAGAGTTCGACAACATCTAAGAGCTGAATAACAGATCCCAGCTAGTCGATATTTACCCGCCTCCCCACAAGGTAGGATGTGGCACAAGGCCGAGTTTAATGTGCAGCTAATTCCCTGTAGACCCCGTATAAATTATAATATAAATAAAATATTAAATTACATCAGAATCCTTCTTGCACTCGTCCGCGCATTGAATATTGTTACCATATCTTGTCTGGTGCTCCTGCTATTCATATCGAGATTCTTGATAAACTCAAAAGAAAGTTCTGTAAAATAATCGATTCTGACCAGCCAACACGACTTCAGTCACGTTCTCACCAAAGTGGCTTCCCTCTGTCTTTTCTACAAATATTTTCATGTTGACTGTTCTGATGAGCTTGTTCTCCCCTCGACTATATTAATTTAAGCGTGCTGCTAGATTGGCAATTAGGTCTCACCTTTTTACCGTTGAACTTGCTACATGAAACTGCCACTTCTACGCTAACAGTTTCTTTTCTCACACTTTTCGTCTTTTCTCGCGATTTCTTACTTCCTTGATAAATACAACCTTCAAAAATTTTACAGCTGCAACTGAAATTTTCAACGTTGTGTTAAAATACACAAACCGCTGGTAGCAACTGTTATAAATGATTGAAAATGAAACCTGGGTCTTGAGGTGCTGCAATCTGCTGTGAAACCCTCCCCAGGTTAAGTTAGAATATCTTTGTGTACCTAGTTAATGTGAGTGAGTGTCGTTCCCGGCCTGTCCACGGCTTCTTTCTTTTTGTTATGATCCAAGTCGAGAATCCCAATCTCCCTGGTTTGTTTTGGTCACACTTTTCATCTCGACTGGATCAGTCTTTGTTTCTACCAGGCCTATATTTATTTTATCCATCCCTCTCCATTTGTAAGTGAGCTTCTTGATTCTGTCTGAAGACTGCATACAGCGGCCACTCTTATTTTTTGTGGGGTGGAAGGGTCCTACTAAAATCTGTTTTTTCTGTTCGATATTTTGTTATATTTTAGTTTGCATTTGGGGATTCGTACCCTCTTCGTCATTTCATACCATCATTAAACTTTTATATATTTTTGAATAGAATGGGATATTGTAGTATAAGTAGGAGCGAATAGTGAAGGATCACTTCTTGTGGTGAATGAGTCACTTCTAATGTATGAATGGGTGGTGAACCGGATTAGCTAGGTATAAGATAGTTAATGATGACCAGACTCACCCCACTTCCGCTTTTCGCTTTGTGCTAGAATTATTGTAATTATACAATAATAAATATTCAATCCCTAACCTAGCTGGAGTAGGGGCCGAGGTGAATTTCACTCCCTTCCCAAAATCTTAAAAACACAGAAAATCCACTTAAGTAATGACCTTTTCACATAAACTAAACTTTCTATATTTACCGACCATGAACGAAAAGAGCAGGAGATTTCATAAACAATATTGTTGTTACAGAAATTTTAATGTCTCTGAAACGAAACTTCTCTTATTAGCCACCACAGAAATAATTTCCTGTTTGCCATTAGAATTGTTATTGCTAAACTGTAGGAGAGCGTCTCTCTGTGTTTTCTTGGCCTTACACTTTCGATTGACTTGAAGTGAAACAACTACATTGAATCAATAGCTGCAAGGAACGTTGTCTTACTGTTGTGCTAGAAGGTTTTTCTCGTCACAGTCCATCCTACATATCTCCAACTCTACCATTCATCCGTACATTGAGTACCGTTGCCATATCTGGTCTGGTACCCCAGCTGTTTATCCTGAGGTTCCCCACAAATTCTAAAGAACGATCTGTAATAAAATCGGTCCTGAATGGTATCTAGACTCCAGTCACTTTCCTAAAGACGTCATGTGATTTCCCTCTGTCTTTTCTAGAAATATTTCCATGGCTACTGTACTTTCGAGCTTTTTTCCCCGACTACATAAATTTAAGCGTGCTACTAGACTGGCATCTACGTCCCAAGTTTTTACTCTTGAAATAGTTTAATGTACTCCGGCACTTTCTTTTCCCGCACTTCCCTTCGACTTATTTGCTTTCTTCATAACTACAACATCTTCTGATGTCTTGAATCCCGTTCATCTTTTATTCTTTCCTCATTTTTTTTAAAAAGTAAGTTTTTTAAGTAAGTGATTTTTTAAAAAGTAAGTTTTTATTTAAATTGGTACTATTCCGATTTGATTGGTACAATTGTAATTTGTGCTGACTTTATTCCTTTCTGAAAATACAGTTGTATACTTTGATTGTTGGTTAGTTTTGTTTAGAGGCATATGGATGATTTAACACTGAAATCCAAATATTTTGAATGTATGTTTATGTCTTCAACTACAGATATTGTTCACAATAGAGTTACTTTTAGAGTAAAAGCATATTTCTTTTTAGATATATATTTTGTAGATAAAATGTATCGTTGGTAATATTTTTTAAAGGGAGTGCTATCAGTTTCACTACAAAAATGTATTGATGGTAATTTTATTATAAAAATGTACTGTTAATTTGTTGTTTTTAGTTTATTCATGGGGGTCTCTATTTTACCCTACCTGGGAACCTCAGAGGTACTATCACCCAGGGTCTGGGAATAACAGCAGTTATGAGGTGTTTTCACGATCCTCAGAACCTCCTATCTCCCAATAAGAAGCCTTGCTGCCGGATGTAGTTTATCGTCATACCCAGTAAGGGGTATACTCTGAACAGTAGAGGTGGGGTACTGACAAATCTGCGTCCTGAGTATGCTGATAAACTACAGGGCCTCTGATCGAGAGGTTTTGATTGCAGATCCACTCTGACACGCGGTCGTAGCTTCTTTATGGTCCCAACTATGGTCAAATAGTTAACCCCTAAAACTGGTGTCAAAACACTATGAAAGTATTAAAATACATTTTGATAGTAAAAATACCAGCAATACATTTTCATAGTAAAAATATTACCAGTAATGTATTTTTGCAAAAAATTAAAAATTACCAACAATACATTTTTGTTAGAAAAAAAATTACCAGCATTATATTCTTGTAAGAGGAATTACTGATGATCTCGAATAAATTAAATTTCGGCATTAAATGACCCATAAGATGTTGATATGCCGCTAAAGAAACAAACAAAATAAAAAAAATGTAGGTGATGCGATATTTAACTAAATAGACCCACAGGAGACCTGAAGAAATTTCTCGCTCCATTACTGTGTAAGCGACAATTACCCATGTTGACACATGTGCAATGTGTTCCTTCTGGTTAGTTGCCAAATTATACAAGGCCACGCTGACAGTAATAGGGTTATTCAAATTAGCTGGATATATTCCGGACATATCGACAAGCAAGTCAAGGGACATCAGGAGTATCGTCGCAGTCTCCTTAATCTCGATCAAGGCCATTAAATGACGATTTTAACGTCACGAAGTCTTAACAATGGGGCTATATGACTAAATTTAAACAACGCTTGCTCTCTTAGAGCTATATTGGTAACGTTATGTCTATGCTAGACATAGTTGCAAGAGTCAAACTTTTCTGTTTGGAATCAAGTACAAACCGTATCTTGAATAGGACCAGTGTATACGTTTCACTGCTAACGAGGCTGGAAAGTGTTCGATTCCTTATACCGTTTCATAAAGTACCTGACTCCTTCCGGCATTCGTTATCTTTTCTATGTTCATTTGTAAAAATTACTAGGCAGTTAAAAAAAAAGGGGGTTCACTTAGATTTCGTCAATTTATGTCAATTCTGGTCATCTATACTAGCTGTCATCACCTCGGAACTTATCAATACGTCAATAAAGATGAAAGAAAGACAGGACCCTTAGTTAAAAAATGCTTTTATTTTACTGTTTATGCTATAAGTGAGTAACGTTTATTTCAAATCAGATTAATTTAATTTTTAAATTTGCTAATTTTACTCAAACACTGTCAAAAATATATATTTTCTTTTTGAAACTGATAATTTTGTTTTGTTTACAAATTTCTAAAAATTAATAAAATGGTCTTTTAAGAAATGTTTTATAAATCGGTCAAAAAGTTGAGATTCCGATCTATATAATTTTTACTTAAATACGCCTGAATATTTTACTGACAGTAAATTTAATCCTTTAGCTTTCGATTAAAGCTAAAATGAAATCTTCAAGAATGCTTTTTCATTTTTAAAAATTCATTTGAAACCTTAAGTATCGAAAATTTATACCGAATTGGGGGAGGTACGTAGTTAAAATAATAGCGGTGTAAAGGCAAAAACTGTCCTTTTGACACACTGTTTTTGGTGAAAATAAAGTTTAAAAATTGCCAAAATTCTTATAAAACATTTTCTGGAGTTATATAACTTGCAAAAGTTGAGGTAATTTTCGTGATCAGCTGGCATTTTCATTTTATCAAACGTGCCTGACTTATTATTAAGACAGAAGTAAATAGTTGCATCATCAGCACAGATACCGACTTGGGAAGTGATTACAATAAGGCAGTACGTAGTGGACTTCTGTAGTAACTGTTATTGCTTTTATTTTACGCTGTTGTTCAGTTTATACAAGGCACAAAAGCCACACACTAATTTGGAAATTCTCGCAAAAAATCAAATACTTGTCGGATTTTAATGCAACTTATAGGACTTATTCATAAATGAATGAATTTATTTTTATATATATTATTTTCAGAAAATCTTGATAAATATCTTTTTTCATCTGGTAACCTCCCCTTAATTAATTTCATAAATTTTTCTAGAATTTAAAACTCCACAAAATGGTTTTATATTAGTTAAAAGCAGGACACCTTGGAGAATGTAAATCATCAATGTTTTTTTTCTTAACTACTACGAACTTTTCTAAAATCTTAAAATAAAAACAAAAATTATGTAATTAGTTAAGCTTTTAATTGCTTCTATAAAAATCATATATATATTAAGAACATTATAGTCTGAAGAAAAAAAATCGATGAATAATGAATTTTTAGAAGAATTGTTTGCATGTTTCTTGTTTTATTTAACATAAAAATGTTTTTAAATTCTTTTAAACATCGATACAGTTAAGTTATTAAATTATTAAGTGAAGACTTTATTTACCAAGCGAAAATTGTAAAGCTTAATACAACCCCACTACCAAAATTTATTATAATAATTAAAAATAATTTTATGTGTTTTTAAATCTTCTTTTTTGAGTATGATGTTTCAAAAGTGTATTATTATTAAAATTTAAACTGTCATGATAGTAATTAATAATAAAAGTAAAATGAAAAGATATGTTATTTTTTTTATTATATTTATAACGAATTGGGGGAGGTACGTAGTTAAAATAATAGCGGTGTAAAGGCAAAAACCGTTTTTTTGACACACCAGATTGCCAAAATACTTGCAAAATATTTTCTGGATTTATATAACCTGCAAAAGTTGATAAGACGTAAGAAACAAATCGGTCAATCAATCGAAAAAAAAAACGAAAGATAAAAATAAAACATCTTGAGTCCTTGCATACATATTAAGAAATTCCTCTTAAGCACATATGTGGCTGGATAAAAAAAGGGCATTTCAATTAACCCCCTACCAATACTTTTATAATACCTTGCTTTTCTTCTTCTTCTTCTTCTTCTTCTTCTTCTTCTTCTTCTTCTTTCACATCCTCCTCCCCCATTAGTTTAAAAAAAAAAGATAACGCGTTAAGTCGTTATTTGTTAAAAATTTCCTGAAGATACCACACGCTTGAAGCTAAGGAAGCAGATTCAACTGATCTCCTGATTTTTAAATTAAATTATAGCTAATCCCTATTGCAGACGCTCGCTCAGGCACATTTGTGTTTGTTCAACATCCACAGAGCACACCTGTGGCTTATACTGCAACTATGCTTAGTTACAGTTTCTGGGAGAAAGTTTGTTATTTAACGTGATCAACAATCTGAATAAGCCCAGCACGCTATATATATATATATATATATATATATATATATATATATATATATAACTTTTTGTCGGAGTAAAATAATTTTGGTTACACTGGTTGTTGTTATGGTTAGTCTGATCTTAGATTTTTCAGTGTAGATTTTATGAAAATTTGTGTTATAATAAAATTAGCATAAAATTTATACAAGAATCTAAGATCAGACTATTCCCAACTATTAGTGGGGTTCATTATGTTCACTTACGTGCAAATAACCCTGGAAAAGATATGAATCAAAGTCTTCTCCCGACAACTATCAGTTAATTAGCATGACTTGTACCAATAAAAGATTATCATCTTCCTAAAACATTCAATGTATAACTTTCGTGCCAGCAACAACAACAAAGATTACTAAAAATTCTTACAATCTAAAAATAGATTCTGGCTTTAAATTACCTGAGAAAGTTTGATAAGCCATAAAAAAAGATCGATCAATCGAAGGAAAGAAACAGAAAAATAAAACAAGAATGTGTAGCCATTTAAATAACCTCTATACTAATACGAAACAATATCAGATAAAAATGGTTTATATATATATATATATATATATATATATATATGCTCTCTTTCTCCGATTGCGCACTATGAAGAAAATGGAATTTGTAACGGCTGCTGCTGCTTTAAATGCTTCGCTCAGTTCCAAAGAATTGAGCACTATGGCGGTCGGTATGGCGTTTATATAGTACGTATATAATGCGTTAAATTATCCCCTTTTCTGCTGTGCGCCGATAGGGGTAAGAGTCTCTGACTGATGTCAAATCTGTCTAGATTCGATCCTGGCTTGAAGAAATCGGATGTCATGCCACACTGATGAACTGCGAAACAATCGGTCTGTGGATGGCTATATTTGTTTATATGTATATATATATATTAAACGTTATATTTTAATAGATACAGGTGTATGAGTAGACGCATATCCCCCTTTTTTTTTAAAGCAGTGAGAATTACATTTGCCGGCTTGTGCATTCGAGAGTTTTAATAAAGAAAGTATGCTGTCACACTTTGTAGTGATCCGACGTTCTTCAAACCGTTTACCTAAGCAGAGCTTAAAAGTCCAGTGAGGTTCAGTTACCCATTTAAGGAATGCGTGTCTCCTCATTCAGATCTTGAGATCTGTGATAGCATTCTACTGGATACACATGTTTGTACCTAGAGAGAGAGAGAGAGAGAGAGAGAGAGAGAGAGAGAGAGAAAGAAAGGGAGAGTGAGAGTGTTATATAGATATAGGTACGAATATGCGTGGGTGTAAAAATGTCGACATTGTAACGATGCTGAAAATAGTATCTGCGAATCCGATTTAGCTTCCATTTTCTTCTTGACAACTATTGCTAAGGAGATGTTCATTTTGGGTCTATTTCGTTCATTTATTGGTCATCGTGGTACACCACACACACCCACACACACACACACACACACGCACACATAAACAGGCGCGCGCGCGCACGCACACACAGACGAATCTTTAAGGTGTCTCTGTGCCCATCTCAAGGCAAGTTGTTCAAGTTAACGTTTGACTACTATTACTCTTGTGCGTAGGGAGACAACACCCCCACCCCCACACGCCACGCATACACATCTAAACAAAGACGTTTGTACGGCTTTGTGTCGGATGCGTGCGCGTGTAACGAGCTGAGACGCGTATTTACGAACGTGATTTTCCCAGATTCCGTTATCCGTTTCTGTCTTGGTGCTTACGCACTTTCGGGGCGTGCACGTGATAGTTTAATTGCAAGTACTTGTTGGCAATCAGTGTTGCATGCCGTTCGATTATGAATTAATTATAGCTTATAAATTAAATGACTTCAATCCAAAGCAAGGCAAAATTGACAAACAAACTAAGTGATAATATCGATTTCAATTTACGGTAACAACCACACAAATAATAACAAGCGTTAACCTCTGCCTTTTGACTGAGGGAGTTGGGCTTCCAGTGAAGGGAAACGTTAGGAATATTGATTGTTTAAGTTGTTGGTAAACAAGATGTCCTCACTGGGAATATTGACGCAATATTTTCTCATAAGTGCTATTACATCCTGATTTTTTTTTCAGAATGAAGCTAAATTTGGTAAAGATTCTCAAAGATTCCCCTCAACTCTGTTTTTCAAGAATTTAGTGCCATTTATCATTTTAAAACAACACCAGCAAAAGTAGTAATGATTTATTTTATGTTCTGGGGGAGAATATTGCGTTTGATCATATAGTGCTTAAATGCCAGCATCCATATATATATATATATATATATATACAAATATATAAACATAGGCATATTATATATATATATATATATATATATATATATATATATATATATATATATATATGAAGAAAAATATACTGAAAAACAAACAAAAATCCTTATATACGATTATGCTGTTTTGATGTTTCAGTTATCTGTTTGGATTGGTATTGCTTTTATGTCCATAGTCTTTTTCATGTTGAATTGTATATGGTCTATGTTAATTATGTTTTATGAATATGTCCTGAAGATGGTCTATTAGACCGAAACTTCCGACGTTGACACTAAACATTAAAACAGCATAATCGCATATTAGGATTTTTGTTTGTTTTTTCAGTATATTTTTCTTCATACTGTCGGATCTATATCCATATATTTGCTTACATATATATATAAAGTCACATCTACATACAGATATATATATATATATATATATATATATATATATATATATATATATATATATAAACATACATATAGAAAACATAAAAAACACATTCATATATATAAAATAAATAAATCCTTTTTATCAAGTAAATTAAGAAATATGTAATAGAAAGACGTATGTTAGACTAAAAAACATAAAGTAAAGATAAATATACATATAAATACATATTATTTCATTATTATAATATTATTATACCGTTATTCCTATTCATATCCAAGTATAAATTTATCAGTTAAATTCCATGCTTGTGAGAAGAGTATCAATGAATGCAGTATCTATTAGGCACACCAATACATGTAAAAGCATATATAAACAATATACATATACACAAGCACACAACAATAAAATATCAATAAAGAAAAAATATATATAAATATACGAACATGAACACCCATATACAAACAGATGTAAGTGGACATAAAAACATGCACCTAAAAAAATACACCCATATAAGAATAAAATCAAATATACTCACGTACAAACTTCCTTGCCAAAAATAACCATATTAAATTCAAAGTCTACGTAAGATTAATTCAATAAGAGTTACAACTATTCAATATTAACTTAATGATCCACTTTTTACTGAAATCTTAGCAAATAAAGGTAGATAATAATTAAAAATTTAACGACAAAAATTTTTTTACAGACTTACAATACCATTTCATCTTTACATACATTCTATCTAGCTAGAAAACAAGTTAAAATATAGGTTATGCCTGCAGTTAACAGTGAGCTCCTTCCTTTGATTTAACCGGTTTATCTTTTCCTTAAATTTAATGATTTCTAGCTTTTAATTGAGACAGTAGTAATCTGGTGCATATAAAGAATTACAGGTACGAGCACTTCTAATTAACTTCCATTTAACAGTGGGAGTTTTGGTTTTCACCTTTAAACTTCAATAGTACTTGGACACAGAGGTAGCATGTTTATAAGAACTATCTTTGCAGGAAAAAAACATGCTGCTACCAACAGCGTTTAAATGGACTTTTAGTACTACCAATGTAAAATTTTTTTAATCTTCGAGTTTTCAAGTAAAGAAACAGTAAAAATAGTAATAAATCAGTGAACTAGTTTGGCAATTGTCTTATAATGGGCAATTATTGGGATTCCTATAGTTACATCCACTAGTAGTGATATTATGATATTTAGGATTGTTTAACTCATCACTATAATTGGTCAAGCCCTTTGGGTTTTATATGTTAAATACCTTATTATGCTTTTTAATTGTTTTTACGAGGTTAACTGTAACTAAGTTTATGAGTATTTTATTGAAGATTTTACTAAGCCTTTGGGAAAATGTTTATTAATAAGATTTAAGAATTTTAGTCCTAACTTAGTTTTAAGAATTAGATTAAAAGGGTGGGGTGTGAACCAGATGATCTTCTTGGATCTTCGATTCCTATTATGGTCAATAGTAATGGGATTCATGTATTAAATGTTGATACATTTATAACCACTACTACTAAGGGCAGAGTTATAAAATTCCCTATACCTATTGAAAACCTCCTCAATAGAAGAGTTAACACTAATTCTAAATTCAATGGAAGAAGTTATATGCTTAATGACTGACTTTGGATTATTAGAATTGGAATGTACATACATGAAATTTCGGGCATATTTTCCCCGTTCTTTTCTTTGTATAATTTTGTACGTTTCTAAACTCGATACATGGTTATTTTTAGAGTTTAATATTCGTAACTTTTATTTTTACTTACATAATAAATTGGAGATTAATTAGTTACACTGATTTCCTATATAATCTAATATTAAATTTTAAAGCATTAATAAATTGTACCTAGGGCCTGTTGTCGCGTTATTTGAATTATCATATACTTTTTATTTGATTGGCCATTATATCTTACGTAAAGATATTCCCCCCAGTAGGAGTAGTGGTTGGTTTTGAACTCTTTAAAAAACACTTTATTTTACTTGCAACACCATCACTTGACAGGACACCAGAATTGTTGAAACAAAATGGCTATTTTGTAGTGATGTTATAACATACTTATCTTATAATTTTTAAATAAACATTATATATATATATATATATATATATATATATATATATATATATATATATATATTGATAGGTGTGTTATTAGGTCTTTTCCGCTGACTTCAGATCAAATCGATCAATTACAGGAAGAACAAATACGTAGTTTACAAAATAAACACACACACACACACACACACACACACACACACACACACACACACATATATATATATATATATGTGCGTGTGCGTGTGTGTGCGTGTACATATATACATATTGAAGACATACGCTCTAGCTCTGATATTTATCACTTTTATCCCTTAAATTTAGCATTGGTTAAAACTATATTTATATTATATCTGGATATGAGGCCTTGTGGGAAGGTAAATGGCGGCATAGCGTCGCCATCACTAGTGATCACTCCAAACACCTTTGTAATCACCATTAGACTCATCCGACTCTTTCCGAATTTTCTGCACTGTCCTCAGATTTACATCCAATGTTCGTATTGGAGCTTACAGTGAGAATGCCAAGAAGTACAGCATGATATTTCCAAATTTCTGGCGGAGTGAATTTCGTCATGTTGCTCTGTTTTTCACAGACTGTGCCCAAGTGACCCTACTATAGTGTGCAGACGACAAAATCAAAAACAATCAACGCGCATGCGCGAATTACAAATATAAAATTGAAACAATTTATCCATCGCAGCCTGTATAGGTGTTATTTTTTGTGGGTACACGTATTTAAGTTTAGTCCGCCCGTGAACTTAATAACATCCGGCCGAAACCAAGATTTGCTAACGAAATATAGTGGTAGGAATTGACATTGAATCATTTTCTTTTTCATCAGAGATATTCCTTTACCAAAAATGTGCTTTTACCCAAAAGGTACGTTTACCAACTTGGCCATGGTGGTTGCGTTGATAGAGCAAGGTTTGAATTATCTATTTAATGAAAGCAGATTTCTCTTTAGAACAACGACTTCTCCATTGCCAAATTGCATTTATAGCAATAAGATATAATGTCGGATAAAAAAATCTATTCAAATTTATATGTTGCAGCATATATCTGGAATTGGGTTAATGTGCTGCTTTTGATGATGATGATGATGATGATGATGATGCGTTTATATGTGTGTGTGTGTGTGCGCGCGCGCGTGTGTGCTTTGTAATGAGTATAAAAATGTCTACGACATATCATAAGATAGATCGGAGGTTGTTGTTTTCACACAGATTGCGCGCATGCGTGCGTATTCACGTGTTGTCGCGTTGACGTACGTGGGCTGTAATTTCAAAGTCGTGATGAAAGGTTGAAAAAGAGAACGATGGAAAAAGAACAAGAAAGACATTTTAAGAACAACTAAGGAGAACAGAAGAGTGATACATACATGTATACATTCGTATATATATATATATATATATATATATATATATAAACAAATGGACAAAGTCCGACAATTTATTTATTAAAGACATTTTTATGTTTAACGTTCTTTTTTATAGATACAAGTATTTAAGTAAATGCTCTGTTTATAATAAACAGTATTAAATAACATTTACCGGCCTGAATGTCCGAGAAATTTTCATAGAAAATATTCGTCCTTTGACAGGATTCGAACCTGCATCCTATACGGAACCGTCATTTACGCT